ATATTATGTACATGTTCCGCCACAAGGCAAAATGCACGCATGCAACAAGTGCGTGCAAATATCATCGGTGCAGATAATACCATCATGCTCAGCTTGGCAATATCGCGCAGACACGATCTGGAGATTCAATTGCCCGTCTGTTATTAGATGACTTTGATACAATCGCTATCGAGTAAATCGAGCGATTTCCGCTCAAATAACGGCGGTGTTTAAACAATTTTTCACGCGACGCAATGTTTAAACAATTCCTCTGTTACGACCGCTTTTAAATATATTTCTTGTTAATTTCGCGAAACATTTGTATTTTTCAGGAGCAACGTAGAGAGAAAAGTTTTTCATTCTGATTTTTTTAATATTTAAACATATTGTTGTACATACAAATTTCACATATCATATAAAATTTACGCAATATTTCCTCGTCATAGAAAACATTATCAGTATTTTCACTCGATTATGTACAGATTTTTTACATTTTTTTAATTTTTTCGAATGAAAAATATCGGTACGCCAACGTGTGATATTTTTCTCGTCCCTAGTTGCTAGTTCCGGAACCGGCAATCATCATCCCGGCACGCCCGGCGGAGGCGCCGTATTTCCGGGAGCCATTCAGGGCAGTATCGGTGATTTTTCCGGGACCGGTCTGGTTTTTCCATGGGCGACGAACGCGCGCGGAAAGCCGCGCCGTGGAATGATGAGGAGAGCCGTTTTCTCGGATCTCCAGCGACGCGGGCTTGAAAAGAGGTTCCAGATACAAAAGTACATCAGCAAACCGGATCGCAAGAAGCTCGCGGAAAAATTAGGTCTCAAGGATTCGCAGGTGAGTGGACGCACGTCGTGCCAAAGTAAATTTTAGAAGGGTTTTTTTCCTTTTTCAGAAGCACCTAAATCAATTGCGTATCAATTATAGCGCGCATCGAAGCGCGTAATTCGATTCCTTGTGATCCAGAATCCTCGCTCTCGATAATCGTATCAGGCATGTCATATGCAGGCAGATTTGCATACGCGATGATAGGCGGATGTGCTCGCGTTGTATTACAATCGAGAGGCTGCGCCGTGAGCATTAGAGACGGCACACGGTGTTTAATCTCGTGCTTAATGATCTCCTAAGCGCAATAGTAGTTCAAGCCAATCTGTATAACGCGCTAATTTAAACGGTAATTAAACTATGAAATTTACTAACGTAATTCTAAGGAAAGAAATCATTTCGTTGTTAATAATCGATTGACTGCCGCGCAATTGCGTTTATTATAGCTTCCGCTTTGTGCCATTTTCACGTGAATTCTTTTCATACATTTTTGTGAGCAGTTCTCAATTTTAATACATAGATTTTGAATAACTTTTGAAAAATTTGATACGTACATCGAGAAATATATTACTTGTCACAAGCTGCTTATTTTCTTATTACAACTTTTACGATTCTTTTTTTTTTTAGTTTTAAATTTGATTATACGAATTTGGCGCTTCTCAGTAAATTAGGTCGAAGAGTCTATTAAGAGCGAATAGTGATTTTCAAGATGACTCCCGTGCGAGGTATAATCGCGCCGGGTTCTCGATAACGGGCTACCATAATCGAGCAGTTAGGCGCGTGGAAGACTGGGAAGGTGCGCGGAGAATATATATTGTGCTTAATGACCTTATTAGGGGCACTAATTGTCGCTCTAACGAAGTACGAATCTCTCTCGTGCTCGGCGCCGAGCGAATTTAGTTCCGCCATGGAGACGCCGCGCCGCTCTCTCTCTCTCGTGGCTTCATTTGGCAGATTGGTAGAGATTAATGCTCGGTTTTGTTGAATACAAAACCGTCCACCGCGCACGAGTACGGGCGAATGAGAGGCTACATTCGTGCGCGACGTGACGGGGTTCGCCTAATTGCGCGACCAAGTGTGCCGTTCTCGCAAAGAATTGAATAATCATAACCCGTTAAGTCGCAATATAATGAAAAAATGCGCAGCCGCGTCAAATTTTGCATATTTTAATATCAATCATGGGGGATTTATTCCAAAGATAAATTCAGTCGAAACTGCTCTTTGAATCTTTAACTACAAAATGTGTTTGATTTATTCGCGAGGTTTTTTTGCTCAATATTTTTCATAATATTTGCGCAATTACAAATATTAAAACGCGATTTTGCATTGCACGTAATTATCTGTGCTGCGAAGGGTATCCTGCAACATTAAATATAATATAACCTGTTGCTGCTAGAAAATAATAATTATAATAGGAAAAAAAAAAAGAGAAAGGAAACGCAAATATCTCTTTTGAGATTGCGCGTCTAATTATTGCGTTATATTAGCTCTAGAAGAACGTTGCCGCGAATACCGACGATATTCCATCGTCGGCTTTCAGAATATTATCTTCCGTCCGTCTTTCGCGAGATCGTTCCATTAATAAAACGCTTCATTCACTTCGTTCGTTTATCTCGATGGCTGCGTTTGGCTGCCGCACATCGCGGACATTCGCGCATTCGACGCGTACGGTTGAACTACGCTCATGAAATCAAATGAAACTAACTCACAGTGCCATTTCCGGGTATCGTTTAGTTTCATTAGCGTCGCCGAGTCTGGCTTGGCAGCCGAACGGCAACGACGTCGGTGCGCGCGGTGTGCTATACGTATACACTCTATGTGTGCAACTAATGAACTGGCATCGCCCGATTAACCCCAAACCGTGGGGTATTATGTGCCTAGCTCTCTCTCTTCCTCTCTCTCTCTCTCTCTCTCTCTTTCTCTCTTCGCGCGTACACGTACGCGCAACAGCTCGCTCTTTCTCGCGTGTGCATCAATGCGATACGTCGATACCGTTCGCGATCTGCCGGTGCACATATGTAAAATGCACGCCTGCAAGTCGGCACTTAAAGGCGTACAGCTCGATTCGAGATAATTACGTTTGCTCTGTAACGCACATTACGTAGAAGTGAACGGATCGTTGCTTAATTCGCAAATTGCCCTCGCAATTCTCTCAATCGAAGATGCGTTATTCTGTTAAAAATAATCGAAGAATGTGAGAATAAAGTGAGCTTGTCAGATTTACTTCAAATGGCAAATTGTGTTTAACGTGGATTTCACGCATCTTTTCTTTAATCGCACGAAGTTACACAATTCAACGGTTATCTTATCAAACCGGCTAATAATCATAATCGAACTGACAGATTCAAATTGAAGAATCATCGTCAATTTGGCGAACATCAGACGATCCGACGACGTTCCGCGGATTAACTAATTAATTTCAAAATTATAATGATATAAGGCTCATATGATTTTCAAAATCAAAATTATTAAACAGGAGCGTAAAGAGCCACACAGCAAGTTGATCGTGCAAATAGTGTATTACTTAATTTACATTATCGTAGAATATAAACGTTTCGGCTTGTCATCAAGCCTTTATCAATACAAATAATAAAAATTACAAAAAAGCCGCAACGCATTAATTACAGAAAAAGTGTGATAACATAATAAAGTTTTTCGGAATAATCCATAGATGAACAGACGTAACGTTCAAATGACATTAAGATTGTGGTAAAAACATAGTGTAGGCGAAGAGATCATCCCCTCAATAGTAAGATAAGAGAGAAACACTTGGGTCCATCTTAAATGATGGTCAAAATCTTAATGATAATCTAATTAATTTCTTTCCCCAATATTAAATAGTTATCGCTTCGATCGACGTATTAGCAGTGGGCGTGAGAAGATCGAGCAAACAAGAAGCGATGTCTGGCTGGATGAATGGTGAATATACCGGCAGAGCAAGAAAGACAACGGCGCAGCGCGCGAGATAGGGACGGGCGGACTGTGTAGGGATATATCCTCATGTATAATTCACACCTCGAGCGCCATGCCTCCGCTGCCATTGGTCCAGGCTCACTCTGTCGCTGGTTTTACGAGAAAATCTAAGGATCAAGCGGCGCATACACACACCGGGCGCCGCGGCTGTGTACACGCTTCGCGCGAGGAGCCCGTTTTTTCGGGCGCCTCGGCGGAGTGAATTGGCGTTTCTTGCGGCTTCGCAATCCGCATACAAAAGGTGATTTTGCGCCTTTCTTCCGCCCGTGGCTCTGCGCCCCCCCGCCGTCCGTTGAGCGATCGCGGACAACGTGATGAGAATCGGGGCGACGAATGTATTGTACTTCTTCGCGTGAAATCTGCGCTTCGCGTACTGCCGCGATCAAGCGTGGATGCGTAAGTTTGCCGAGAATTTAGTCGCAGAATTTTTTAATATCTTTGCCAAAAATTGTGGCATAGAGTTTCAAAGAGTGTAACGTTACACCTTCCTCTTTTCGTGCGCCGCGAGGATAATTAGATTCGAGTTCTTTCACGAGAGATCTGATTTTTATGATACACGAGGTCGGGCGGAGCGATATATATTCCTTTCGATTCCGGAACAAATACTTTGGCAAAGTGTGTACCGAACAAAAGGGCAATTTTGATTGCTCGATGAAATGATACTTGAGCGCCGCGGGGGCGATTCAGCTTCGTAAGTACATATCGAACTTGATCCCGTCGTTAAAAGCAATTGAACTCCGACCGAACGCACCCGCAATATCTCTAACATTACTTTTTATCGCGCGCGCGCGAGAGAGAAACTTTTCCCAACTTTATTAGAGGGTGTTTCCAGGCCCCGAGAGTTTCCCGCGCGATTCTGCGCTCTCGTCGGCCGGCTATCTAATATCACGGTTCGCCACACGAACACCCATAAAAGCGATTATTGTCCAATGATAGTTCTTTCTCTCTGCCCTTCGCTCCACCGCCCCCCCGCCACGTTTTCCCCCCCTTCTCCCGCCCGATGTCTCTTAATAGCGCCGAGATGTTGGCAGCAGATGCCGAATTTCACGTCTCCTTTAATGTACCGTGCGCAAACGCGACAATATCACTATCTGAACTCCCCGTTGGCATCGCAATCTAAGTTATCGAGCTATCGGCGCGTTGGATGCATGTCGAAGTGGCGTGATTATCGCCCACCTTTTCCATTATTATCCACACAGCCGCGTATTACGCTGCATTTGGATTATTTATAAGAAGACAAAGTGCAGAGGACCGAAAATATGTGAGATACGGAAGTGTTCTCGAACTTCTCGGCAAATCAATCCGCGCTTCACGCGCGTGGCAGAAATCTCTGAACTTTCCAAGAACAGAATTTTTTTTGTTCGACACCGCGAGACATTATTTCGAATGCCTTCAGAGTTTTCGCAGAGACGCGATACGAGACACGAGTTCGAAGATCACCTCGAATTATCGTACTTTGGATCGCGCGCCGGACTCATGAATCTTTTCTCGGATTTAATTAAGGACTTGCGGTGCCACGGGTGGATGATAATAATAAAGCTTTTCCAGGGGGTAATCTGTGCTTTGAGGGGCGGCGGGCGGGGAGCGGGCGGGGGAGGGAGACGGCAGAAGGCGAGGTGCCGTTTCACACAGGTTCGAGGCTTCACTACAGTTTATGACGAGGGTGGGTTTAAGAGGAACGTCGAGGGTTAAAGGGGGATAACTAAAGTAATTAGTGATGGTGAGCGAGAGCCCGGCCCCTTTCTTGGCTATACCTACCACCCTTATCCCTCTCAGCGCCTTTAACGAGATGAAGATGTTGATTTATCGCGAGAGCCCATCTCAGAAGCCACGAGCGCTCATCGTCGATTTTGCTAGAAATATTATTGCACATTTTATCACTTGGATTTTTAACAATAATGCAGCAGAATTATGCCTCAGTGATGTGGACACATCGAAAAGAGAAGATATCTTATTCTCTGATTATTATCAAACAGATAGAGACAGATTTCTTGACACTTCACCGTGAAATATTGACAGCTCGGATTTTGAATGACGAT